TGATTCTGCTCCAGTGTGCCAAGTTCTTTGCCGCCTAAAAACAGTTTGCACATGCCATGCCTTCAGCCTAGAACATTCTCTTTCCTAGTCTTTGAAATCCTTCATATTTCAATTTAGAAATTCCCTCCTTGGCTGGGCGCAGTGGCTCAGGCCTATAATCCCATCACTTTGGGAGGCCCAGGTGAGAGGATTGAGCTCACAGGTTCGAGACCAGTCTGGGCAACTTGGCAAAACCTCATCTCTACAATAAATAAATAAATAAAATTAGCGCGTGGTGGCATGTGCCTGTAGTTCCAGTCACTTGGAAAGCTGAGGTGGAAGGATTGCCTGAACCCCCAGCAAGTAGAGGCTGCAGTGTCCGTGAGCATGCCTTTGCTCTCCAGCCTGGGCAACAGAGTGAGACTCTAACTAAAAAAAAAAAAAAAAAAAGAAAGAAATTCCCTCCTCAGACAGCCTTGTCTGATCTCTAAATCCAGACCAGCTCTCACCTGCTGTTCTCAGGGAATCCAGTTCCTTTCCTTCTTGGCATTTCTCACAATTAATAATAATGAGATAAGTAGAATTACATTGAGTCTTTGTCATGAGCATGTAAGCCCCTTGGGGGCAGGGAGCAGTCATCTTGTCCAACACTGTCCTTGGCAAGATGATGGACACACAGTAGCTGCTCAGGAAACATTAGTTGACTCTCACCTGTGAGTTTCTTCCCTTCGGTGTCAGGGTGTTTACATTCCCACCAACAGTTCTCCCAGTCCCACACCTGCTGTCTTTTGAATTGTTTTTTTGTTTTTGTTTTTTGATTTGGAGTCTCACTCTGTCGCCTAGGCTGGAGTGCAGTGGCCCTCTTACGGCCACCCCAGCGTTGACCTGCTGGGCTCCGGCGATCCTTCCACCTCAGCCTTCCAAGAAGCCGGAACTGCGGGCACACACTACCACGCCCGGCTAATTTTTGATTTATTGTAGAGACAAGGTCTTGCCAAGTAGCTTGGGCTGGTCTTGAATGTCCCCAGCCTCCCAAAGTGCTGGGATTACAGGCTAAGCCACTGAGTCCGGCCGTCTTTTGACTTGTTAACGACAGCCATCCTTTCTGGAGTTAGATGGCATATCATTATAGTTTTGATTTGCATTTGTCTATGGAAAACAATGTGGCGATTTCTCGAAGAACTAGAAATTAACCTTCCACATGATCCGGCAGTACTTTTCCTGGGAATACACCCAGAGGAACATAAATCACTACAAAAAAGACACCTGCACATGCATGTTTAAGGCCACAACATTCACAGTAGCAAAGACATGGAACCAACCCAAATGCCTAACAAAAGTGGACTGGATAAAGAAAATGCGGTACATATACATGATGGAATATTACGCAGCCATAAAGAAGAACAAAATCATGGCCTTTGCGGCAACTTGGATGTAGTTGGAGGCCAACTACCTACTAAGTGAACCATCACAGAAACAAAGAACTGAATACCACATGTTCTCATTCATAAGTGGGCCTTGAAGACTCATCACACTAGCACAAGAGTGGGATTGGCAGATGCTGGGCCCTGCCAGGGGTTCAAGGAAAAGAAGGGGGGCACATTACAACACAACTGGGGTACCTGGCCCACTCCCGGAGGAGAAAGAGCCAGCTAGAAGCCCAAACTTTATCTGCGTGCTGCCTACTTATGTTGCACACCCGCACCTGTACCTTACAACTCTAGAAGTTTTTTAAAAAGTATATATCAGATATATCAGGGTGTTAATATCTGCCTCATATGTCATTGTGAGGGCGGAACAAGAACGGAAGCGAGGAGGCTGACGCGCAGGTGGTCAGTGAATATTATTATGGTGACAATTCAGAGCCAAGTGAGGGCTGAAGACTCACAGAGGTGGGCACTTGGGGCTGTTTAGAGTTGGGTAGGCTTCATAGGATCCGGAGGGCAGAACAGCCTGAGCAAAGGCACGGAGGAGGGGAAGCGGAATGGCAGCATATGAACCTATGTGGCTGGGTGAAGCGTGTGGCTTGGGACAAACTGGGTAGAAAGACAGATCGGGGCCACATCAGGGAGACTCTTGAATGCCAACCCAACTTTATTTGTTTGTTTGTTTGGTAGGAACAGTGGGGCTGGCCTTGAACTTATGGCCTTGAACTCATGGCCTCACGTGATCCTCCCACCTGAGCCTCTCAACGTGCTGGGATTATAGGCCTGAGCCAGCACGCCTGGTCAGCCCAACACATTTAAACTTGATCATTAGTCAGTAGGGAGCCAATGAATGTTTTGGAGCAAAGGTGGCAATTGAAGAAGTTGTATTTTATTTTATTTTATTTTATTTTTCTCAGTTGGAGTCTCACTCTGTCAGCCAGGCTGGAGGGCAGTGGCTCATTCCCAGTCACCACAGCCTCGACCTGCTGGGCTCCGGCGATCCTTCCTCCTCAGCCTTCTAAGCAGCTGGAACTACAGGTGCGTGCTGCCACGCTTGGCTAATTTTTTTTTTTGATTTGTTGTAGAGATGAGGTCTTGCCAAGTTGCCTACGCGGGTCTTGCACCCGTGGGCTCAGGCAATCCACTCACCTCAGCCTCCCAAGGCGCGGGATTACAAGCTGAGCCACCGAGCCCGGCAGAAGTAGTATTTTAGAAAGATTATTAATTATGGCAAATCTGCATCCGATGGACCGAGGAAGTGATGAAAGGCAAAAAGCATGATCATTTCATTCAAGTTCTATCTCTAATTCTTGTGACCACATAAAGATATACAAGCAGCCGGGCTCGGTGGCTCAGCCTGAAATCCCACGCCTTTGGGAGGCTGAGGTGAGTGGACTGCCTGAGCCCGTGGGTTTGAGACCCACCTGG